CCCAGGGGAGAAGTGGTGGTCTGCTGCCTTCCCAAAATGATGGCTCTGGAGGCAGCTTTGATGAATCCTGCCCAGCTCTGTGCTTGTTTTCATAGAAGCTCAGGCATTTCGCAAGCCAAGAGGTGCTCATGAGGATGTTTTGCTAATGGGGTGAGGACATCTCTGGTGATCTTTGGGCAGGATCCTCAAGTGAATGCCCAAATGGGTGTAGATGACGTGCTAATTCAGGCAGGATGTGTCCTGCCCTCCCGGCAGGTCACTGCCACAAATCTGCTCTCCTCCCACCCACTCCTTCCTGCCAGGAGCTAAAGGGCTGAGGCAATGCACAGCTCCCACCTGGGGAACAAGCAGTGTGCAATAACTGAGACAGAGCCAGAGGTGACAAGGAGGTGCCAAAGTGCTGGAAGTGGCATGCACCCAACAAGGAAAGGACAGGCCTGTTGCAAGGGAAGCAGAAGGTGAAGCAGAAGGCGTGTTCATCTTTCTGCTATAGTGGAGAGATATTGGCACAGGCTGCCCAGGGAGGTGGCAGTCATCATCCTTGGAGGTGTGTGAGAAAAGGGTAGATGTGGCACTGAGGGACGTGGTTTAGTTGGCATGGCAAATGGGTTGATAGTTGGACTTGATGATCTTGTTGTGTTTTTCCAACCTTAATGATTTGATGACACCACGATCCCAAGTTGAAGCGTCCCAGCTGAGCAGTGTGTGCTCCTGGGAAGATGAGGACTGTGGGAAGAGCCCTGTCTGGAGCAATCTCTACTGAACATCTCAGTTTCTCCCATAAGCACAGTGTGGGTTGTGCAAGTGAAGCCAGGAAGGACTGGCTTGCAGGACAGTGGGTAGGAACACAGCTCTCCCATGGAGCTGAGCTGTGCCCAGCTTTTGTAGTATGACTGGAATGCACGGCGAGTAGGCTGGGGAGGGATGAAGGTGCTTTGGGCTTGGCTTAGGGCTCAAGTCCAGAGGCATCTTTCAAAACAAGAGAAGAGAGGGGTTCAGCCCCACAGAGCACCCTGCAAGGTGTCAGCTCAGCTTCTGAATGTCCTCTGTACCTCTGGGCAGACACCAGATCTAGGGCCACAAGCACACAGTGGTCACTTCATTGCATGCCCCACTGGGCTGCCTTTCCCATCACAGCTCCCAGGGACAGAGCTTTGGTCTGCACATCTGCCCCACAACACCCCACCCTTCCTGCCCTATATCACACACCCTCTCATTACCTCCCACAGCACCCCAGCCCAATCCTTACCGTACCCTCCTTCCTCCCTCTGCTGCATCCCACCCCAAAGATGCACCCCAGGCATCATCTCGCATCTCATCCGCTGCATCCTTCCCTCTCCCCCTTTGCAGAGAGATGCGAAAATGCTGGGAATGCATGCTGGCATTGCAGAAATCGCTGTGCTCCCCCTCCCCCCAGGATCAGGGTGCCTGATGTAGCAGGCTGCAGGGCTGAGCCCCGCTCCAGGCTGCTCCAGGAGCAGCACTGCAGCTGACAGCCCGGCCGAGCGGGCAGAGCGGTGCCAGGAATATCAATCAGTGTGCCTTGGCCAGAGCCAGCGCTTTCATTGCGCCGGGACTTGCAGGATCTGCTGAGCTGCAGGGACGCGGGCTCAGCATCCATCAGGATTTGGGAGGAGAAAGATATGGGAGAGGGGGAGGAGACTGCCTGAGTAGGGCAGGAGGAAGGGAGCAGTCAGGAGAGAGGGATGGAGGGGGGCAGATGTTGCAGTGGAAGACTGGAGGTGAAAGGCAAAGGGAAAAGGGGGCAGTGGGCCAGTGGCTGGCTCAGCAGGACAGGGAGGAGGAATGGGCAGGAGTGGGGGCTTGGGGCTGCAAGGCCAGCATGTTGTGGGGAGAGCGTAGTGCACAGGTATGAAGGAAGAGAGTTCTGTGCAAGCCACCAAGAGAGCAAAGGATGATGTCCCCAAATCCAATGGGGACAGGGGCTGCCAAGCAGGAGAGATTTGATGTTCTCCTCAGGAGGGTGGGGACAGGAAGCACCATGCCTACCTGTCAGACACTCCAATCACCACACCGCTTACACCCTACTGTCAACTTGTTGTGCAGTGCAATCTGCATACAGCCCCGTGCCACCTCCTCTTGGGACAACACAGTACCCATCCACATGCCACCTCCTCCTACATGGTTGCCACCCCTGTGCCACCTCCTCCTCAGGCACTGTAGTATCCGACCCCATGCCAACTCTCCTAGGACAACACGGCACCAATCTCCACATCATCTCCTCCTGCAGGAGACGTAGCTCATCCCATCACCATGCAGCCTCCACTGGAGGATGCAGACAGGGAGCATCCCACTTCTCACCCTCCTTGGCACTCCCCATGCACACTCAGGGCCCTGCACTACATCCTCAGGCACACTGAATCTGCATCAGTTCAAAACGAGCCAGAGATCAGGAGCTGATTTGCATTTTGGGAACTGCTCCCAGCACAGCTTCTATCCATAGCAGGGGAAAACAGGGCAGGTCCCCCCTGAACCCTCCGCTCCATCTGCAGCTCAGTGCTGGATCCATTTATCAGCTCATTCCACGTGAGCGACCTTGACAAAATCCAATGACCCGGGACGGCAGGAGACTTTCCCAGACATCTGCCAACACCTAAACCTGCAATTTATGGAGACTTACAACTAAATTCTACCACAAGACAATTTCATTTCTGTCCATTACAGCTACAATATTCCTCTTATTCCCCCCCACCTGCAGAGAGTAATTAATGCTGCGCTGCACTGCCTCGCCTGTAGGCAGGTGCAGGTGCCTCTGCTGAGCTTGCAGCAGTGTGCCCAAGCCAACATCACTCCCAGCTGGCTTTGTGAGCAACAGGGGGCCGTAGTGACCTGGGCAGCTTTGGGTTCGTGCATCCAGGAGAGGAGAAAGGAGGGAAAAAAGTAGAAGAAATGCCCCAGCTGATGGGGGCTGGGACGGAGGTAGAAGAAAATACTTCAGCACCTGAATGTGGTTGTGTTCTGGCTGAGGGTTCATCAAAGAGCTGCTGAGGGCAAGGAGGGAAGGGAAAGTGCTTTCGGATGGTTCCCGAAGGGCTGTGAGGAGAAGCCACATCTCCAGCCTGGCTGGCCCATCCCTGCAGGGCTGCTGCTGGAGGTGGGTGCCTGTATCTCTTTTCCTCTTCTGCAGCCACCGCACTTCCCGCAGGGCACAGCCCTGCCTGCCCAGGAGGCCCAGACGCTTCCCGGCCGGTTGACGATAAAACCTGACGCTGTTAGCAAAATAAACGGGGAGGCTGGAAGAGCCAAGGCTGGCACCAGGCTCAAACCACGGAAGCCAGAAGCACTGGTTTCCCCAGCTGATCTAATCTTTCCCAGCGCCAGACCTCCTCTCCCCAGCGGGCTGGTGGGGCCGGTTGGAGCCCCTGGGGAAAAGGTGAAGCCAGTGCCTCCTTGCACCCCAAGTTGAACCAACAACTTTGAGAAGGAGGGAGAAGAGCCAGAGAAGGGGGACCGCGATCTTTTTGGGGAGCACGGCAACCTTGCTCCATTGCAAGCCTGTTTGGGAGGACATTTCCTCCACAGTGCTGACGCTTGTCGCGTGGTGGGGCGGGAGCGCCTTGCTTTGGGTGCCCCCCCCCCCAGCGCTGCTGACGCACCCAGGCTCCATCTGCACCCGCTTCCTCATTGCAGCACTGCGGCAGGATTTGGGTCATGCTACCAAGGCAGGGCTCTGCTCCTCCGCCTGCTGGCCTGGAGAGGTGGAGGTCTTATGTGGACATGGGGATGGATAGGATGAAGGAGAAGGCATGGTACAGGGATACTGGGGTGTATGTGTGGTGAACCGTGTCCTGGAGGAAAGGCTCCTTGGAAGGCTGGAGATGGGAGAAGTCATGCAGGGAGTCAGCGCCCTGGGACCTCTGGGTTGGCTACTGGGGGATGGGGGAAGGTTACGGAGGGGCTGGCCCATGAGAACATTGTTTCTGGGCAGCAGGGACGTGGGAAGCCTGCCTGGGAAATGGCCGGGAGCCAGAGCAGCTTCAAGGGCAGCACGGAAAATAAGGCACAAGCGGTCAAAAATAGAAAACTTTATTGAAGTCAAATCCAACAAGGCAACAGAGCTCAGCCCTACGGCAGGAGCCCAGCCTGCCGCTTGGGGCTCTCCATGGGGCACTGGGGTACAGCACGGCGCGAGATGGACCGAGTGGTCCTCACCCACGGGCCAGGAACAGATGAAGCCACCCGTCCCCTCTCTCCCTCCCTAGTAGCTAAGGACAGAGCTGAGAACAGAGCTAAGGGCAGACCCGACAGGTGCCAAAGCAGAGATGAGGTGCAAGCCAACTGGTCAGACAGCGCGAGGAGAGAAGGTTCCACAAGCTCCGGACCCCTGCGGTCCTCCCACAACCTCCAAGCACACCAGCCAGCAGCCTGGTCCTGCCCACACCCTGCCCCATGTGCAGCACAAGTCCCGGCCAGACGCAGAGCAGTGAACTAACCGCAGCACACAGCAGAGACCCCGCATCCCACAACTCTGACCTCCCAGCCCCATGCCACCAGTGAGGAGCCCCATGTGAGGAAAGCTGCTGGGTCCCAATGCTTTCACTGTGCCAGTGATGGCAGAAGGCCCAAGCCCTGAGGAAGGCAGAACCCAAGCCTGGGAAAAAGGCAGTGCTTTGCTCCCCTGCCCAACCCCACCTGCCCAGCCAGCGCAGCAGGTGCTGTGCTCCAGCTTTTGCGATGCTCTGCACAGGGAGCTGGACACAGCTCTGTGCTCACATTGCCCCAGTGACCATCAGTCCCCAGAGAATACCCAGCTGGGTGGTGTCCCTCCGGCGCTCCCCATGCAGAGGCACAGGCGTGCAGCAGCCTGTGTGTCACCACCACCCAGGTCCCAGCCCCGGGCGCTGTGACAAGGACTGCAATGCTCTTCTGTCCCTGTCCCTTCCCCGCCCCGCAGTCCAGGCTCACTCCCACACCTCGGTCCAGATGGGTCCCCGGTGCAGCGGGGGGGCCGCTGCCGGCCTCAGGATGAGCTCTCCTACCTGCTTGTTGGTGTATTTCTGGGGATTGGTGCGGTAGCTGTAGTCCGAGTACTGCTCGGAGCCCGTTGAGTTGTTGTCCCCGGTGCCAACAAAGGTGTTGGTGGCCGGCAGGTCCTGCACCACTTGGTGCTTCTTGGAGGCGGAGGGAGACTGGGGCTGCAGCTGGATGGAGGGCAGGGGTGAGTTGGAGCGGTAGTGCCGGCCCAGGTCCGGGCTGCCCGGAGGGTAGTTGAGGGGCAGGTGGATGCGGGGGCTGTCACTGACAGAGTCATTCATCAGGTTGAACTTGAGGGATTTCTGCAGCCCTGTCTCCTCCTCGTCCTCTGTTGGCTTGGGTGGCTTCGGAGACTTGCTCTTCTTCACCTTGTTCTTGCTCTTGCCACTCTTGCTGGCCTGCTTGGGCGCATACAGGTCTTTGGTCTCCTTCTTGCCTGCCTGGTAGCCACTCTTGGCCTCCCGCTGTCGGCAGTAACGCACCAGGACAACCAGCACGATGACCAAGGTGACAGCCACAATGCCAGCAATGACTCCAAAGAGGATGTTGCTTCTCTGCTTGCTGCGCTCATACTCAGGATCCCCAGCAATGTCTATGTCAAGTGGTGTGTCCAGGCTGTGCCCCACCAGTGTGTCCAGCAGTGTGCGATTGGCCAAAGTCTCGTTGACATAGAAGTGCACCAGGGCCGTGCCGTGCCGTGACGGCTTGCCCTTGTCGTTGACACGCACAACCAAGCGGTGCAGGCCATGGTGCTTGCGCAGGATCTCCTTTTCCAGTGTGATGTCTCCACTTTGGGGGGAGATCTGGAAGAGCTCGAAGGGGTTGCCTCCTGTGATGCTGTAGGTCAGCTCGGCATTGACGCCGGTGTCGATGTCCTCTGCCTTAACCTTGCTCACCTGCTGGCCGGGGCTCGTGTGGGGCAGAATGTGCTTGTAGGTGGCATTGGAGGGCGAGGTGATGAAGGGAGCATTGTCATTCTCATCCAAGACATTGATGGTCACCCCTACGTAGGCAGACCTGGGGGGATCCCCACCGTCCACAGCCTTGAGCCGGAAAGTGTACGTACTTTGCTGCTCCCGGTCAAAAGAGATGCTGGAGAGAATGGTGCCAGTGCCATTCTGGATGACAAAATCCCCATTGTCTTGCTCTACCGACAGCTGGATTCGGGCATTTTCTCCTTTGTCAGCATCGATCACCGTCACCATGCCCACGGGGCTGAGGGGTGGCATGTTCTCCATCACCGAGAAGTTGTAGCCGCTCAGCATGAACTTGGGGTCGTTGTCATTCCTATCCATGACGTTGATGGCCACCGACGCTGTGCCCTTCAGGCTGGGGCTGCCCTTGTCTGCCGCCACCACCAAGAACTCGTAGCGCTCCCGCTGCTCACGATCCAGCACCGCTTTCACCCGAATCTCTCCAGAGTCAGGGTCAATGGTGAAGGAGTCCTTGGAGGACGGGTCGGTCACCAGCGAGTAAACCAGCTTGGCATTGGAGCCGCTGTCTGCATCACTGGCACTCACCTCCATCACTAGGTCATTGGGCTCGTTGTTCTCAGGGAAGGCCACCTCGGTGAAGCTCTGGCTGAAGACGGGCGCATTGTCATTCACATCTACTACCTGCACCTTCAGCGAATTGGTGCTGGAAAGGGGCGGGTTCCCCGAGTCCACTGCCACAATCTCGATTGTGTAGTCCTTCACCGACTCATAGTCCAGAGGTGTGGTAGTCTGCAGGAAGTATTTCTTCTTGCTGTCGCTCCCTGTTTCGCTAGCCTGCCGCAGCTGGAAGGGGACATCCCCAGCCACCACACAGGTCACCACAGCATTCTCGCCCTCATCTCGATCGGACACCTGTACCAGAGCCACTGCTGTCTCTACTGGTACGTCCTCCGAGATATTTGCCATGCCATCCTGGTGGGTGACCAACCCAATGCCCCGAATTTCTATAGAGGGCGCGTTGTCATTCATGTCCTTGATGGTGACCACTACCTGCGTGCGGGCACTCTTGGGGTTAGCCCCCTTGTCCTTGGCCATGACGGAGAACTTGAGGGTGCTGACGTCCTCACGGTCGATGGGCCCCTGGACAGTGATGAGCCCTGTGTTGCGGTCCAGGCGCAGCAGCCGGCGCACCACATCCGATGCTTGGTGGAAGGAGTAGTCAATCTCAGCATTGGCACCCTGGTCCGAGTCGTTGGCCTTCACCTGCAGAACGAAGGGAGGGGACGGTGAATGAGAGGCCAGAGTGGGGGGAAAAGGGTGGATTTCCTCTTCTGAGGCTAAGACCTACGGGGCACCCTGAGACCGGCAGTGTGGCTGGGAGTGGCTCAGTAACAGAGGCCTTCCCTCACTCTTCCAGAGAAACCGGCTGTGCCGGTTGAGCTGAGTTCCCCTCCCGACTGGCTCCAGCATGCAGAGAATCCACTGGGAAGCAGCACTGCCAGAGCCAGGCAGCACTGGGGAGGGACAGCCCCTGCTGCACTGAGCCATCCCTTCCCACTGCCTGCAGCCAACAAGTAGGGCTCGGGTGGCTGGGAAGATAACAGTGGTGAGGCCATGCACAGTTGTGGCAGCTCCATCTCAGCTTGCACCAACCATCCCTTGCCTGTCTGCCAGCAGCTTTGCATTCTCATAAATCTGCCTAGTATTTGCTTTCAAAAGAAGATGAGGTTTGTCTAACATTTGCCTCCCTAATCGGCTCTCCGAGCAGCCTGTTCTCTGCACCATTTGCTGCCCTGCCGTTATCTTGCTCAGCAGATTTGGATGGAGAATGAAAGTTGTTAAATGTAAATTCCACCTTTTACCTCCACTCACAAAAAAAGGCGGAAGTCATTTCACCCAAAAGATAAAAGCTGAGCAATGGCAGTGGTGGTGGCTCAGCCCATTCTCCTCCCGGCCACGTGGCTCCCTTATCTGCTTCCAACTTCCATTCTCTTAACAGTGAAAAACGAATTTTTAAAAATTCACATCAGAATTAGCGAGCAGATGAGAGCCAGCCACGCTCTGCTTATTAAGATGGCAGCTGCCGATAAGCAGATGTCGCTGCTATCATCTCGATGTTGCCTCCTAGCAAGAGCAACCCGGACCCAGCCCTTGGGTTGCCCACTATGGTGCAGAGTCCTGCGTGCAGAAAGCACTCCGGTTCTGCAGACGACATCCCCTGTCTGTTTCCAAGGAGCAGCTGAGAGAATGCAATCAGTGAAAGGGTCTATGTTATGTCCATGCGCAGTGTTCAGACCAGCCTGGCGTGACTCTGGTCTCCTCCTCAGACCGTGGGTCCCAGCTCTCCCCAAAACCCGCCACCGTGCTCCTAAAGACCCTGCTGCTACTCCCGACCCTTGCCAAACTCCCCAAGGGTCCCATCCCACTGTGTTTTAGCAGAAATGACATCCCAGCCTGATGCTGTGGGCTCCTACAGCATGCAGCCCTTCTAGGATCTCCTTCCCAAAGCCCACGGGTTGTCCCTGCTAAAGCATAGGGGAGCTGGGGAAGAGCAGGAAACACAAAAAACCAACCTGGATGACGGAGTGCCCCACAGGGCTGTTTTCAGACAGCTCGGCCTCGTAGAGGGTCTTCTCAAACTTGGGTGCATTGTCATTCATGTCCACGATGGTGATGCGCAGCAGTGCACTGCTGGCCCGTGGCGGGTTGCCCCCATCCTGCACCTTGATGGTCAGGTCATAGGAGTCCCACTGCTCCCGGTCCAGGTTTCCCATGACAATCAGCTGTGGCTGCTTCTCCTCCTGGTCCTCAGCCACTTGGAGCCCAAAGAGTTCCTGTGCCTCAGGGCCAGCCAGCAGCTCGTAGGAGGCAACGCCGTTGAGCCCCGAGTCCCGGTCCATGGCTGGGGGGATGGAGAACAGAGCCCCAATGTTGGTGTTCTCAGGGATGGTCAGGGTGAGGACGGGTGAGGCGAAGTTGGGGGTGTTGTCATTGATGTCGAGCACCTCGATCTGCCCCTCCAGCAGGCGCGGGCTGTTGTTCTGGATCAGGTCAGTGATGGACACTTCGAACTCCAGGTAGCAGGGCTCTCCGGGCATCAGGTGCTGGCACTCACGCAAACTCTCCCGGTCGATGGAGGTCTCTGTGGTGTAGATGTCTCCCGTCTTGCCATCCACACGCAGGTACGGGGCCCCCACTTCCAGCTTGTAGAGGTGCCCCACGTCAGGGAAGCCGTAGTCAGAGGCCAGGCTGCCGATGAGTGTGTTGGGGGGCTGCTCCTCCTGCACTTTGTAGACCACACGCGTCCCGCAAGCAAGGGCAGGCAGCTGGCAGAGGAGCCACAGGGCCAGGCAGGAGGCGAGGGTCCTCATCCTGTGCCTCAGGGAAGCTGGAAGGACACAAAATACCTTGGGTTAAGCTGTTAGAGCTCCGGCTGCACTCTGTGGGACTGCAAAGCCACGACTCAAAAGGAAGGGGGATTCCAGGACCACCTGGCCCAAACCTCCACCAGAAAGGGCCCAGGAAGCCCGACCCTGGAGTGTCGAGTTTCCTAAGAACAACCCTGTCACCGAAACCCTGGCCCTTCCTGCAAGACACAGGAAGCCACTCCTGCCACCGTCCACCCTCTTCGTCACCGCACACTCTGTAATTACAACCAGCCAGGCATGCTAACGGGGCAGACTGCACGCAGCCTGCTGCCAGCAACCCGATGGGAGCCAGCCAGGCTGGGAAACAGCTTCTCACCACAGAGACACAGGAGCATTGTGCACCACGCACTGTGGGGACACTGCCTGCCATGCATTGCAGGGACATGGGGGAACCTGTCAGCACCACAAGGCTGTGGCAGCAAAGGGACAGGTAGGGTCCCTGTGTGGGATGTGGGGATGCAGCCCCTCAGCACTGCAGGAACATGGGGCATCACAGGGATGCAAGGATGTGGAGCACTGCTTGCACTGCAGGCGTGCCACCCCTCCAGCACTGCAGGGATGCAGTGCACTGCCACAGCAGGCACAGCACAGCACTGCCCTCCCTGAGCTGCCAGCTTTGCGCTGCAAAGGCACCACCCACCCAACACTGCAGGGATGCAGGAGCCCTGCACAACACTTGCACTGCACTGCATGCCACCTGTCCCTGGTCCCAGTAGAAGAAGGGACAGTGCCCGGCATTGTGCCAGGGGAACACTTCCCACCCTGCACTGCAGCTCCCAGCACCCATCCTGCAGTCCCTGAGCCTCCCTACAGCTCTTCATGGCCCCTGAACACAACGGGCAGCACAGCATCTCCCCTTCGCTGCACGGTCTCTAGGCAACCCCGCACCCTGCACCAGCCAAAAAGCATTCCCTGCTCCTTCCCATTCTCTCCTGCTCTTGGCTGAGATGTGCCTGGGGGGTGCCCAGGGCTGTCCGTGTCCACCTCACCGACTGCAGAAATGGTGACAGGAGCGCTGCCCCCTGCATTGCAGACGCACACTGCACGCTACACTGCAGGCACCCAGCCACTGGAAACCTCCTCCCAGCGTGCAGACACTGCAGGGCCAGTGCCAGCTCTGCAGGGACTGTCCCCTCTGCACTGAGCCACACACTTCATCACCTTCTCCTGGACACCAGCCTTTATGTCACCTGCTTCCCTGGCTGTGAGCAGACAGGGAGCCTTCACTGTATGTCCAAAAATCAGCATCCACAACATCTGCCATGGCACCCGCAGCAGCAACTCGCTCCTTCCATTCCTATCACTACCCTCCAAGCTCTGCACCCAGCCCGTGGAATGGGATGGGATGGATGGGACGGGACGGGACGGGACGGGACGGGATGGGATGGTGGTCCTCCCGCTACATGGCCAAATGCAAAATTCCTGCTCACTTGGAATCATGTGTCTCCTCAACAAGTGGAACATCCTGCGCCGGCTGCCCTGTTGCTTTCCAAGCCAGCTGCTCGCAGTCCCTCTATCCCCTTGCTTGCCCGTAGACAAATGCCTGCCTCAAGCTCTCCCTCGGCAGGTGGAAACACAGCTCTGCTTCTGAAAATGAAGCTCTGGCCCCAAAGCCCAGCTCCACTCTGCTCACTGGTCCTGCAAACACCATTTGTGCCAGAGGACAGATGCTCCCACCCCGCTGAGAGTATGCACAGCCATCCACAGGCACATTCTGGGTGGAAGGGAGGAGGAAAGCCAGCCATCCCCACCCTGCACATGGCCAGGGATGGAGGCAGGAAGCTGAGCAGGAGCACGATGTGGCTCTGCATCGATGCAAGCAAGACCCAGCAGTGAGCGTGCAAGCACACAAGCACGTGTGTGCACACGTGTACGTGTGTGCACAAGCACTGTAAAGGAGCACACCCATGCCTGCACCAGCAGAGCGCGTGCACCAGGATGGAGCTGGCACTGCTGCACTGCGCGCACACGCGTGTGCACGGAGCAACATGTGTGCGCGTGCCCCTGCCCCCATCGCCGTGTGCTGGCATGGTATCACCCCACACAGGGGGCATTTGTGCCCTGTGGATGTGGGTCTGAGCCCACGCCAAGAGTCGTCACCCCATTGCTTTGGAAATGTCTGCGCACTGAGGGTGGGGAGCATGAGGAACGGGGATCCAGAGGATGCCTGGTGGGGAGGCACCCAGCACAGGCTGTTTGCCCACGCCTGTTTGCATGAGGCTGGCGCTGACGTATCCACCCTGCCTAAACCCAGGTGTGAGGATCTCAGCTAAAGGTAAAAGTCCATGTGTGGGGCCGTGGCTCTGCCGTCACACAGCCCTGAGTCACCAGAACCAGGAGCCAGGGGCAGGAAGGGAGGCACCCCAGGGTGCCCTGCACCCATGCGGTGTTCTCTGGGATAAAGGACTGGAGCCTGAACCCTGTGTTTCCACACTGGAGGGAGCCCCCAGATTGGGGGGGCTGGAAGCAGAGTGAGGCCGTCACCCTAGAAAGAGGTGGCTGCAGGAGGAGGGTGGGAGCCAGGCACCTGGGTTTGCCAGGGGAACAAATCCTGCTTGGTGCTTGGGGTGGGGATGACACGCAGCAGACGTGAGAGCCCCGAGCAGGGTGTGAGAGAAGGAGGAAGCTCCACCATGGGGGAAAAGCACATCTGTGCAGGAGGCAGAGGCTTCCCAGGGGCCGGTGCACAGCAGCGGTCTATTTTCCCATGGGATCTAAGGACCATCCCACACTTTTTTCTCTGGTGCCAGCCACCTTTTTCCGACCTGCTGGCAGAATACAGAGTGCTTAAAAATAAAAACCCCTCCCAAAACAAGTATTCCTCGGCACACACAATTCTCCCTGCGGGGAGAGTGCGAGAAGAGACCCGACCACATGAGAGAGGCGTTAGTCACGCTGCTTAATGCATGACTGGGAAGCTCTCGGAGGACAGTGGCATGCAAAATCCAACAGAATTCACTCATTCCCCCCCA